TTTGATTGGATCATTCACCCGGTCATGAACAGAGTAAGAACAAGTTATTAATAATAATGTTTATTAACAGGATGATAAAACATTAAAATTTGCCAAATTAAAAACTGCCAATTACAATTTTATAGCAAAATTACCAAAATAAAGTGCTATACAGTACTTGTACAGTACACATTACAAAGGCTAAGTAGGTACAGTAGAGGAGAGAACTTCAAAGGTAGTTTGTAGGTAGTTGCTGTTTTACTTCGCTACTCTTCATTACTCTTTGCTGTGTTATGCTGCGACCCCACCCAGTCACATGTACTGTAGTAGACCTTGTGGATGCTTCTTTTGGCTGTCTGTGTTCTCCAAGTTCATCTATAATGCCACTCTCTCCTTCTAGAAGCTGTTTAGGATGTTTTTTGCTCCATTCTACTGTCACGCTACTGTCAAGCTACAGTCTTCCACTGTCAAGCTGCTGTTGCAGTGAAGGAGCACTGAACTACATGTACCTGTGCAAAAGTAGAGCAACTGTGGGGTAGCTACTTAGCCTTTTTTATGATTATACATGTACATGTATACATTAATGGATAAAGGTTTAGCTTATCATGTACATGTACATGGATTGTTTTGATGTGGACTAATGGTCTTTAGTTTGGGAAATATTATGAGGAAAATAGAATAAACAGAAACCAGCTGTCATTATTATGAACATGTTGTTGTTGTTGTTTTTAGTTAAAATCTGAAGGGTTTGAAGGAGGAGGATCTGGTAATAGTCCAGAGAGAGAAGTGTCCTCTCCTGACAGATGGAGTAACCTGGCCATTGAAGAACTGGAGAGGGCCTTTGAACTACTGGAGTCATCTAATCCTGGGTTTAGTGAAATATTTATTAAGTGTCTAGTAACACAACTTCAAAGAAGGTAATAACCAGTAGTTAATAACTGCTAAGTAATAACTAGTAGTTAATAGCACCTAATTAATAACCAGTCCTTAATAACTATTAATTAATAAGTAGTTAATTAATAATCAGTAGTTAATAACTAGTATTGTGAATGGTTATGTAAATTGAGGTCCATTCCTTAAAACTTTAGCCTCCAATTTAGCATAGATTTGTCAAAAAAATTTTAACCACCAAACCAAACTTTTTATAGATTTTAAAATAATTGGCAAATTTAAACACTTAAAATTGTGTTTATAGTTATACATGTACATGTACATGTACATTTACTTTGTATTATGGTATAATTAATTTATTCATTTTATTATTAGGTCAATGTGAGCCACTGTCTTGTAAAACTGAAATATTATTATTATCATTAATATTATTATTATTATTGTTGTTGTTAGTACTTATTATTATTATTATTATTATTATTATTATTATTATTATTATTATTATACAGAAGAAGAGGAAACTGCATACATTTTGTTATGTTGGAATGTTCAGCAATTTTCTCACATTTTACA